CCTGTCCCCTTGGCCCCCCCCTGCCCCTTGCAAAGGCGTCTCCGAGTCTCTACATGGGGCCACTAAAGCTTCTCCGGGGCGTCGCGGTGCCCTCGCTGCGGCCTCGCGGTTTCGGTGCCCGTGGTTTCAGTGCCGGTGCCCCTGCGCTCCTCCCGGCACTGCCGCGCGGTTCCTTAGCCACGGTGGCTCCGGCGCTCGTTCCGTGTGTGCTGACTGCCGTCATTCCCGATCCCGGATGGGGATCGCCGGTTGCTCGGTGGGACGGTCGCACCCCGTGTTCTCCACGATCCCGGTGGCTGCCGTCTTCCCGCGTTCCCTCTCGGCTGCTGCGAGGCTGGAGCAGACATCGCTGCTCGGCCTCTGTTAGCTCTGCCCCGGTTCCTGCTCTGGGTGATCCCTCATGCTTCCCAATGGAGCTGCGTTATTCAGGGAATGCAGTTTGTGTCCATCAAGGCTCCTGTCCCTCCAAAGCCCCCCGCAGCTCACACAGTTCATACTCTGCCCTTTGGTGCCCATTCCCTCTGGAGCTCCCTCTGCAATGAGACCTAAAAGACCCTAAAGAAAAATGCATTGGGTTGGGAATTTGTTTCCTTCTCCTTGGAAACTGAACTTCCAAGATGGATGTGGTCAGACCAGGGCCAGCCGTCGCTGTAACTGCCTGGGGGATGTAGGATGCCGCGAGAATCCTAATGAGTTTTCTCTCCTTTTTCTCCCTAGGAAAGCGAGGATGGCATCGAAGGAGACGGTGAGTAACGCTGCTCCCTGGCACCGCGAGCGCCCGCGCAAAAGTGTGTGAAAAACACCTTGCTCCTACGTTTTGCCCCTGTTATCCCACGTGGTACCTCCTAGCAGTAGACAAACGTGGAGCGCGGGGACAGTACTGCCCAAATCCACCTTTTCCCGCTCTGTGAATCAGTCGTGGTGACTGTGAGGGATGCTCCATGGTGCCCTCACTTCCCCTTGGCATTTGCCATTTCCATGTTGTGCCTGGAGAGGATCTGCTCCCAGGGGAAGCGCCGTTCTGCTCCTGCCTCCGTGCCAACCTCCTCTTTCTCTCCGCAGCCGTGCTCTCCGATTACGAAAGCGCCGAGGACTCGGAGGTAAGAGGAGCCTCTGTGCCGGTGTTCCGCAGAGCGGCCGCGTCTTGCCTAATTTTAGCACAAAACCCAGTTTGTGCCCTCATTTTCTTCCCCCCACCCCTCCATAGCGATTGCCTTTGTCCCGACGGAGCAGCTTGTGCGCTTGGCACCCTCTGTGCGCGGCCTCTGCTGCGGGAGTCCTCGAGGCCGGCAGGAAAATCCTTTCCCAAGCTGGTCCCTCCTGTTGGGCAGCTTTCCCGGGTGCCGCACGCGGCTCCGTGCGGCTGTTGCTGAGTCCATCCCTAGCTGGAAGCTGCCTGTGCTGCTGGTGGGGAGGATTCGGGCCCAAACTGCAAGGAAAACAAATCCCAGACTCCTAGATCGGGTGCACTGGGAGCAGGGCTTTCCACGCCTAAGAAGGATGCGGAATGGGCAGGGAGATGCTGGCTGTGTTTTAATTAGCTCGAGCAAACACAGAGCGAGGGCTGCGGGTCCCGTACCTAAAAATCCTGCCCCGCGTGGGCTTCCCTGCCGTAAACAAGAGAAGTTGGTGTGAAAATACGTGGAGAGCAGAGCAGAGCAGTGTCGCTCCCAGCCCTGGGCAGCTATTTATAGTGGCGGCTCCGAGCGAGGGTGTGCGGTGGAGACGAGGTCGGGCTGTTGCGGGCGCCGCGCTCCGCGTGAGTCACCGGGGAACTCCAGGGAGCGCGGAGGCGCAGCCGGGCCTGGATGCAGGCCTTAGTGTGGGAGAGAAGGGCCCTCCCGAGGGCCTGGTGGTAGAGACCGTGTCCCTCGTCCACTTGTCTCCCGGTCCTGTGCAAACACTTCCATTTCTGCCAGATTCTCCTCGCTTTGCAGGGGAGCCGGTTCCAGCTCCCTGGGAATCACAGTCGTTTGATCTAATGTCACTGGGGATCAGTGGGGAGAGACGTTCCTTGATCTTCACTTTCTCCATAAAAATACAGGGATAGGAAGGACCTCGAGAGTTAATCCCCTGCTAAAAGGGAGGTGGTTCTCTAGCAACTGGAGCAGGGACCTGACCCCAGAGCTGGGGACCTCTCTGGGAATTTCCTGGGGGACCTGAGTCCGTGTCTGAGTGACTGGGGCTCTTTCAGGCGGAGGAGGAGGACTACAGTGAGGAAGAAAGCGCCAAAGTGGAATTGAAGCAGGATAGCAACGATTCCTGCGAATCTGCAGCAAAAGCAGAGAAAGGGGATGAGAAACACGACTCCAAAGGCGCTGTGACCGGCGAGAGGCAGAGCGGGGACGGGCAGGTAGGCGCTGGCCGCGTGCGCGCCCCGGGCCACCACGGGCTTTGCCTAGGAGGATTACTGCAGTGGTAAGAGCTGTCTGATCTTGACAGGAGAGCACTGAGCCCGTTGAGAATAAAGTCGGGAAAAAAGTTCCCAAGCACCTGGATGACGACGAGGACCGGAAGAACCCGGCCTACATCCCCCGCAAAGGGCTCTTCTTTGAGCACGACCTCCGAGGGCAGACGCAGGAGGAGGAGGTCAGGTACGTGAGCATCTCCTCCTCTCTGTTGGACTCAGCTCCCTGCGGAGCAGCCCAGCTCTTGTGTCTGTGTGGAACGCCGGGAAGGCGTCCGCAGGGAAGGGTCTTGGTGCCCTGGCCCCTTTGGCACAGCCGGCTCCGGATATTTGCTTTGGAAAAGAAGGGACCTTGTGGTGGTGCCACAAGGAAAAGCTCTTGCCCCTGCCCAGTGGCATTTAGCACTTCAGAGAAATCGTGGTGGGTAGAACAGCAGCTGCTGGGACAGGAGGAATGGGAGGAAGGAGAGGGATCCTCTCCTATGGATGCTGCCCTAGGACAGCGCGTCCTGTGCTGGGTGCTGCTGCGTCTCCTTGGCTTTGCAATGACCCCCTGCTCCGTGCGACTGTTCCAGGCCGAAGGGTCGGCAGCGGAAGCTGTGGAAAGACGAGGGCCGCTGGGAGCACGACAAATTCCGGGAGGACGAGCAGGCCCCCAAGACCAGGCAGGAGCTGATCGCGCTGTATGGCTACGACATCAGGTCAGCTCACAACCCCGACGACATCAAGCCCAGGAGGATGCGCAAGCCGAGGTGAGCAGCAGAGGGGCCCCAGAGCCTGGCCTGGCACCCAGGGAGGCTCCAGCCCTGTGCCGGGCGCTTCAGGACGCAGCTCCGTGGCCGTTGGCGCTGGCTGGAGGGCAGGGCTGTGCCGGGTGCTGCGCGGGGGTTCCCTGGTGCTCCAGCACCTCCTGCTTCTCAGTGCAGAAGTGCCAGGCTCAGCGGAGAAGCTCTGCAGGGTGGTTCCGTAATGTGGGCTCAAGCTCTTCTCTTGTGGCAGCAAGGAACCTTCTGGAAATTAATTTTAAACCAGAAAGTAGCCCAGACAACAGAAACACCTTTCAGTGACAGCTTTATTTTCCACCTCGGATTTTGCTTCCAGGCCCTTGTAGCCCTTGTTTTCTTCTCCCTCAGGTTTGGGAGTCCTCCTCAGCGAGACCCAAACTGGCCCAACGAGAGGCCGCATAAAGCGCCGAGACAGCAAGGCCCGGACAGCGCGTCGGCTCCGGCGCGGCCCTTCGGCAGCAGGAGCCCTGCCGGGACGGGCAGGATGCCCCCGGCCAGGAGCTACCCGCGCGTGGGGGGCTACAAGGAGACCCGACCCGGCTACCGGGCTGCGGAAAGCGGCGTCCAGCACCTAAGCCCGGCCGCGAGCGCCAACGTGCAGCCGCCGCCGGACAGACCGGTGGAGAAGAAGTCTTATTCCCGGGCCAGGAGGACCAGGATTAAAGCTGGGGACGCAGGAAAGCTGGCGGATGAAATCCCTGCTTCGGAAGGGCTGGCGCCTGTGCCGCCGAAACCGGTCCAAGTGGAGTCGTCCCCCCCGCCAGCCAAGAGCAGCAATTGGGAGTCGCCGGGAGAATCCGGCTTGGATGGACTGGAGCAAGAGATGACACAAATGAATCTCGGGGAGCAGAGCTGGACGCCGGGGCAGTCTCAGTTCATGCAGCCCCGGGAGCTGAGGGGTAAGTGGGTTTGGCCTCTTAGTTTCCTACTGAATTTCTCTCCCATCTCATTCCTGGTAGGACACAGTCCTGCTGCTGTCTGAAACATCTGGTAGTCGCTCAGTGCAGAAGTGTCTTTGCCAGAGTCTCAGCTTTGATACATGCTGGTGGTTTGTAGTGTTGAGCAAGTTCAGTGCAGATGACTAAAGGTGATAAAACTGAGCAGAAAAAGCAGGACAGGAGCTGTGGGTGGCGTGTGACTCACGGTGGGACTTGCTGCTGCGGCAGGAGTCCGTGCTGGGGATAAGGAGCCTTGGGATCTGTTCACAGGTGGGTGGCTCTTAATTGGCCTTATCCCGTGTCCCGCTCGAGGGCAGGAAGGAACTTTCCTCCGCTTATCGGCAGGTTGTGCAGTAGACTGAGCTTATTTCACAGTGTTGAGACTGGGTTGCTGCTAGCTAAGGCCTGCCCAGGGTTGGCAAATCCCCTTGCACCTGGGAGGAGGAAGCAGCTCCGTTCACAGGAGCGGGAAGAAGCCGAGACCTGTGGCAGACTTAGACCCACGTGAGCCGAGAACTGAATTCCAGCTGAGAATCCCCACGAGAGGTCATTCAGGTATAATTATCTCCACAGAATTAGAGAGCCTTTTCTGGGAAGAGTTAAGAGTCCTTCCCGAGAGAAATAAAACTGGAGCAAGGAGAAGGAAGCAGCTCTCTGCTTTTGTAAGTGTCTCGGAGGGATTGGGGCTGCGCAACCACAAGTTTTCTGGCCATAATGTGACCAAATATTGTGTGAACAGACCCTTAGTATTGACCACAGCCTCGCTTAAGATACATTAATAGAATGAGAGCTCAAAAATACTCTGATTTACACATTCACGCATGTTAGCAATATAAGTGGCCTCTGTGGGCACTTTCAGTGTTTATTTTGCCCACTTTCCCTCTCCTGGAATTGCCTATAGTCAGTTTGACACTGTGGTTTAAATAGTGCAGTGTAATTTTGTTGTTTAAGTTGAAATGCTTGCAAGGAGCCCGTGATGTAAGTGGTTGCACTCTGTAATGAGTTTAAATTGCAGCTCATGGTTCCATTTGAATGTTTGGCTTCTGCTCTAAAGAGATCCTTGTCTCAGCAGGAGCAGAGCCTAGTTTGGGACCTGCACTTCTGGCCGAGGATTTTTATTTATGTATTTTAAAGAGGTTTAAAAGGTGTTGAACAGCGTGGATGACTGTACAGTGATGCAACAGCTTTTAATTTGTATGGAAATATTTAAAATTGTAGCCTGAGACGTGAGGTTGTTTTAAGGCTTTTCATTATGAAAACGAGCTGAGTCGCACACAGCGACTTCTCCAAGCGGCTGGCAACGAGGGACAGGTCACTCCTGGCCACGTCCTCTCCTTTCCGTGGGGAGGAAGCCCTAATAACTGTTGTGTTTCTCCCCCAGGTATTCCCAACCATGTTCACGTGGGGAGCGGGCCGCCGCAGTTCAACAGGATGGAGGAAATGGTAAATAACGCGGAGGGAGCATCGGGCTGTCGGAAGCGCCGCGTGTTTCGACGGCTCTGCTGTAACCAGAAGCCGCCTGTGACGTGGAGCCTTTCCCGTTTGCTCCCGGCGGGATCCCAGCGGGATTTGCAGGGGTAGGGGGCGAGGTGGCCGGCAGCGGGAACACCGTTGTCACACTCTGGCCCTGGGTTCCTGCAGGCCGTGCCGGGCGGCCGCGTGAAACGCTACTCGTCGCAGCGGCAGCGACCGCCCGTGCCGGAGCCGGCGCCGCCGATGCACATCAGCATCATGGAAGGGCACTACTACGACCCACGTGAGTGTTTCCCCCCGCTCTGGAGTCCCCTGCTCCTTCCGTGCCCTCCTGGGCTGGGACAGAGCAGTGGCCTTTGCCTCTCCTTCCCTTTGTGGACGTTATTTCCCTCGCTGCCCTTGCAGCGCTGCGTGCGGGTGCTGCGCTGGCCTCCGTTCGCTGCAGCACAACGAGGTTCAGGGCAGCTTTCCCTTAGGAGCTCTTCTGTGTTGCAGTACAATTCCAGGGACCAATCTACACGCACAGCGAGAACCCTGCGCCGCTGCCTCCCCAAGGGATGATCGTGCAGCCCGAAATGCACCTCCCTCATCCAGGTAAGGAAGCGGCTGCCTGGTGGCCCAGGGCAGTCCTTGGTGACACGAGTCTGTGCCCTGCCGAGGGCTCATCCGCCCTGGCCGTTGGGAGCAGGGGACTCTGGTGTCACCAGTTCTGGTGCTGCCTCTGCTCCTGGGGCAAGCCAGGGAAGCCAGTTTCCCTGTGCTATAAGATGAGAGATCTGCTTCCCTCGTGCAGTGAGGCTGAACAATACAAGTTTTAAGGAGAGACAGACATTTTGGGGCATTACAGCCAGCGCAGGGCTGAGATAACCGGAAAGTGTTGGCAGCCTCTCATGCGGGTGCCGTGCAGACCCTCTCGGCTGCCGGCTTTCCCTTTCGGTGGGGTGTATCCGCTGCCAGCCCCTTTGGCGCCTCCGGTCT